TTCAACCTCAATTACCAGCTGCATTAGCTCCTGGCAAGAGAGTCAGCATGTCTTTCGAAGCTTTGAAGCCAGGCACTGAATTTTCCTTTCTAGCTATGAAAGTCCTAGATGGCTTCATTTTCCAATAGAAGACTGTTTTGTCTACTTTGAAAATCTGTTGTTTAGTGTAGCTGCTTTCAACAATTATCTTAGCCAGATCTTCTGGATAACTTGCTGTAGAATCTACATTAGCACTTGCAGCTTCACCTTGCACTTTCGTGTTATGGAGATGGCTTCTTTCCTTAGACTTCATGAAACAACCTCTGCTAGCTTCAAACTTTTCTTCTGTAGTTTCCTTACCTCTCTCAACCTTTGCAGAATGGAGCAGAGTTAGGGCCTTGCTCTGGATTAGCCTTTGGCTTACAAGAATGTTGTGGCTGGTTCAACCGTCCATCCGGACCACGAAAACTTTCTCTATATCAGCAACAAGGCTGTTTTGCTTTCATATTATTTGTGTATTCACTGGAGTAGCACTTTTAATTTCCTTCAAGAACTTTTTCTTTGCTTTCACAACTTGGCTAATTGTTTGGCACAAGAGGCCTTGCTTTTGGTCTACCTTGGCTTTTGCCATGTCTTCCCAATTAAGCTTAATCATTTCTAGCTTTTGATTTAAAGTGAGAGGCACATGACTCTTCCTTTAACTTGAACACTTAGAGGTCATTGTAGGGTTATTAATTGGCCTAATTTCATTTTTATTGGTTATTAGGGAATAGGGAGGCCCAAGAAGAGGGAGAGAGGTAGGGGAACAGCCGGTTGGTGAAGCAGTCAGAACACACAAAACTTGCATGGATTAAGTAAGTTCTCCATCTTATATGGGTGCGGTTTGCTGCACCCAGAAACAGTTACGACAGTAACATAAAAGATCGCTCATCCCAGATCACCATAACAGATATAAGAACAAACAGAAAGGTCGAATATTGCTAGAATTACCAAAATGCAACACGGAGACGCAAAGTGAGTACGTACTGTTGGAAAAATGGCACCGATAGACTTGCTCCACCCAGGATTGCCACAAACCTTCAGGTTGTAAAAAACGCATGTCTATGAATCAGAATAAAGTGAAGTGCGATAAAGTGAAGTATGCCTCTATACCATTCTATATCATAACTTAGTTAACCAGTCTCCCATTTGTCTACCCCTTTTTCTTAAAGCTTCTCTAGATTACAGAAAAAAGGGCATCCCTGGCCTTTCCTCAGACAGACTTAACTTCCTGTTTTGTACGTGCACTGGGTAGCTACCGTGAGCAGGCTCACGTCCAGAATTCTGTGTGGAGACACTGAGGTAGGGTTCCTGCCCGTATGTACAAGTGACTCCCATATAAGGTGGATGGTAGCAGGTGGCAGAGAAGAGCAGAGAATGTTCTAGAAAGCATGAGAGAGAGAAAGAGAGAGGGGAGGGAGGGAGGGAGGGAGAATTCTGCCGTGGTGGTGGTCTTGGGGTGTCCGGAAGGCTTCGTGGTGTTGGCTACATTTGAGTTAGATCAGAAATTCGGGGGAGGTCGTTTGAAACAGCTGTTCTAGGTAGAGAGAAGCGTGTGGATAGTCTCTCTTCCCCTGGATGGGGAAGAGAGACTGGCCTGAGCACCCTGCATGTGAAAGAGAGCAGGCTGGGACCGCTGGCAGTGGGTGATTAGCACCCATCTGGGGACATGAGCAAGGCCTGAGAACTCGCAGTTTTGCTTGTCAAGAGCCTGTCGTGAGATTGAAAGGGCTGGATTGACAGCATACTTCCTAATGGGAGGCCTCTTAATTAAGAGAACAGTTCAATACATGTTTTAAGCAGAAAACACCCTTCCCTTTCCTTCCACTTTTGTTATCTGGGTCCATTTCCCTCGTTTGTCCTCAAGTCCCTGTTCTAAGGTGTGTGGGTTGAGGCTGACCATGGGCCCACACTGCCTCCCTGTGGCAGGTTTGTGCATAGCACTCAGCATAACTGCTGCCCCGTGGCCGGAGGGGAAGGGGGTGCATGCAGTCTGTTCCACGACACTCACAATCCTCATTCACTCATTTTTTTTTTTCAGGTGGGGAGACTGACTTCATCCACAATGATGTCAGGAGGAGCAGGCATGCTCTGTTCCATTTACAGAGTCACACTGAGGGGAGGGAGAGGGTCTGTCTTGAAGACCTGCCTCTATCAGCCAGCGGTGGAGAGAAGACCTGCCTCTATCTGCCTAATCCTGCTGGAACCAGGGCATGAGGCACCTGTTCCTTAAGGTATGGCTGCCTTTTTGACTAAAGGAAGTGGTATTTTTTTTCTCTCCTTTGATCTTCACCTTTCTTTCTAATTTCAATGAGAACTTCTGAATTAGTTTCTGAGTCCTTGGAGGACTTGGCATGAGAAAAGCAGGACACAAAGATGGATTGAAAGCCATCCGTATCACACAGGGGAAGCTCCCTCACATTCAAAGTCCTGTCACTGGCTGGAAGATTAAGTCCAATGGCGTCAGCTGGACTTCAAGGCCTTGCCTTGTAGCCTCAGCTCCTGGCTCTTCCCATCTCGGCATCCCGCGCTTCAATCAGAAAGCATCCGAATCTCTGCACACATTGTTCCCTCTGCCTGGAATACTCTTCTCCCCACCTTGGTTGTGGCCCACGTAACCTTCTAGAGAGATCCTCGTACCCATCCAGACTCAGCTCAAATATGCCACCTCTGCAGGTCTTTCCTGAGCCCGACTCTGCTGCACCTTCTCTGGAGTCCAGCGATTTGTACATATCTCAACTCAGTGTCTCTCTCGTCTGATTCAGCGGCCTGGCATATTGTAGATGCTCCGTGAATGTTTGTGGGTGAATGCATAAGCTGTCCCAGGTCCACGATTTGGGAGGTGGCTAAGAAGGTGGGTGGATAGTGACTTGAGGCAGAAGGTTAGAGAGAAGGAAGCAACAAAAGAGCAGGTGCAAGGAAGTCACCTTAAAGCCCTGGCACACCTGTTCCCTCTCTCACTGACACCAAGGAAGACAGTGGGGCGATCCTCACCTCACTCCCTCTGTTGTGTAGCTGGGTTTTCCTTTGTGCCTGCAGGCTCTCCCTTTCCCCCTGAGATTACATGTGCATCTCCACTCACTCTGCCTACTCCCCAACCCCAACCCGGGCTTCACTTCGGGAGCCAAGCGCCCTGCATGCTGAGCTTCTGAGTGCTTTCTTGCTGAGGTCCAAAGATGAGCTTCAAATCCAGGATCCACCGTTTATTTATTGGCGTGGAGTCTTAGGCAAACTTCTTCAACTCTTGGAGCTTGTGTCTTCATTTGTAAAATCAATGTGGTAATAGTTTCTCTGAGTGCCTCAGGTGGCTTGTGTGAAAATCACACCCAATACTGGATAAGAAAGAGCATCCTAGAAATGTTTCAGGTGATGATTATCACGATCAGGGGTCCTCAAACTTTGTAAACAGGGGGCCAGTTCACTGTCCCTCAGACCATTGGAGGGCCGGACTACAGTTTTAAAAAGAAAACTATGAACAAATTCCTATGCACACTGCACATATCTTATTTTGAAGTAAAAAAACAAATGGGCAAAAACACCCGCATGTGGCCCGAGGGCCGTAGTTTGAGGACGCCTGATCATGATGATAATGGACAAAAATAAGTGCATGGAATATTGCTATTTCTTTTATTATTTCATGAAGGCTGAGGCTAAAAGAAAGGTGAAATCAGGGGATGGAGAAATATCACACTGGCCAACATGTTGGATCCACTTGAAGAAACTAAGCAAATCTTTAGGGCTTCTTATTCTCTTCTAACAGTAAAATAGAGCAGGGTAGACTCAGGGGCACTCCTGCTCCTCCGCCACCCTGAGGGCAGTATAGCCTAATGGTTAAGAGGATGGGGTTTGAAGTCAAATGATCTGAATTCAAATCCAATGTCTGCCAACTAGGTAGTTAATTAAGCAATAGTGCAGTCTCTGTGTCTCAGTGTTTTGAGGCACAGATGTTGTGTCTCTGACACAATGTTGTGTATCAATGTTTTAGTAAAATGGGAATAATTTTAATAACAGTACTTATCCGATGGGCTTGTTTCAGCAAGGTGCAGCAACCCCTGTAAAGCACTCAGAAGAGTGGCTGGCATACAGCAAACGTCAGCTTGGATCCTTCCCTCTGTTAGCTTCCTGCTCACAGGGGTTGACAGTCTTGCTTTTGCTCCCATCTTGAGTAAAATAATGAGGCTCAATAATAACCAGGCAGAGGGCAAGGAAAAAAGTCTAATGAAAGACAGGCTAGTCACTGAGGATAGGAAGGATCTTAACAACTTCCAGTTCAATTCCTTCATTTTCAAAAAATAGGGAAACTGAAGCCAGGGAGGAAATATTTTTCCTAGGGTTACATAACAAATTCAATTTATTGGCTGTTCTCTCATGCCTATTATACGCCAAGCATTATCCACAGTTCTGTGGATGAGTGGATGAGTTAAGAAACAGTTCTTGCCTTTGCAGAATATTTTCCAAAGTGTATAACATGCAAAATAAAGTTATCATGATCAGAATTTAACCCAGAAAATTCTGGATTAAAAATAATGAGGGAGGGGGGCATGGGCAATATATGTAAACTTAACACTTGTACCCCCATAATACGCTAAAATAAAAAAAAATAATTAATAGAGTTTTTGCCTTGTTATTTGCTTATCTCTGAGGGAGTTTCCCATGAGCAGCATGATAATTTGTTCCCTTAGAATCCATCTGCTGGGATTTGTGCCCTGTGGCTCATCCTATGGAAATATGATGCTGGGTAGACATTCACAGAGTATTTGGGGGGAGGGTATATCAAAACAGATCTGTGAGAAGTTCCTTGGTGATGAGGCAGAGATGGGGTCCACACCAGCGTGCAGGCGGACTGCCCTTGAAAGCATACAGCCCTCTTTCCTCTGCTTAGTGTTTTATGTAAATGCAGTCTCCTTCCAAAGAGCACTGAAGAACAGTCTTAATCCGTGCACGACAGCGCACATTGCAGGAATTGAAGTCAGGAGACAGAGATGTCGAAGGAAGAAGAAACAAAACGACAACCAGACTGGGACCACAAGGGCAAGATCAGGATGCTAGCCATCATGTACGTGATGTCTGCTCTGTGCCCAGCCCACATTAGCTCGCTTTTACTTGTTATGTTATTGGTATTAACACATCCAACTCTCATGTCAATTATTGGAGGTAGGTACTATTAACACCCCCATTTTATTATACATATGGGGGAACAGACACGGGTAGGTCAATGACTTGCCCAGGGTCATCTAGCAAGTTGGTGGAGGAGCTGAGGTTTGAATCTGAGCAACTGGCTCCAGTCTGGTTTTTGGAACCACAGGTAGGGGTGGGAGCTGCTTTGGATGTGGCACGCATTTCTCCTTGCCGGCATCCTACGCACAGGCATAAGGCTAGTTATTCAGGCAGTTGCACCTGTTTGGTCCTTTGATCCGCCATTGTGGTCACAAACATTGGGGTGGAGGGATTCAGCTTGGGGTGGGCAGTGCAGCTGCCTGTGTGTTGGAGAGGGGAGAGGGCAGGTCCTTCCCGCTCATGCCTGCCTTTCGCCTAGTCCAGGGATTTGCTCAGATACTCTCTCCTTGTTTACTGCCTTCTCCAGGCTCAGTCCTTTGTTTACACTCACCTGAGGCACTTCCTATGATGTACCTGGTTTCCAAGTTATTGGCACAGACCTATGGATGCTCCCTAGGTGAGTCATAGCTGCTTGAAGATGGAGGACAATTCTTATTCATTTCCTTAAATTTCTCACCTCAGGGCTTTGCTCAGTCCTTACTGTTAAATGAATAAATTCAGAACCATTGAATAGAAGCGACTTAAAATCACCTGGCCCTGAAGGGGAAATGCCATATGTGGAAGTCAGTTAGTGCTGCTCACCAAATATTTCCATCCTCCCACCTTCCAGGCACATGATAAATGCCATTTATTCACCTCCTTTGAAATTAGATATGACCGTAGGATCTGCTTTGGGAAATGAAATGTGAGCAGAAGGGATATAAGTGTTATTTCTGGGGAAAAGGTTTAAGAACCTGTGTGCAATTTGTCATACTCTTTCTCTGACATGATGATGGCAACATTTCAGGTGGTGGCCGCCCCACCAGCCTGTGTCCCTGTGTGGCTCCGAGCAGAGCCCCCTGCTGACCTCCAGTGAACTTGTAGCACAGGCAGGCAGTGAATCTTTGTGATGTAAGCCAGTGGGATTTTAACACTATTTGTTTCTACAGCAAAACCTAGCTCATCCTGACTGATGTAGCATAGAAGATCTTCTGGGAGCTGATCCTGAAAATGAATGTCACTCTTGCCAAGCACAAAGAGCTCCAGTTAGACGCAAAGCCCTGCTGTTATAGGTTCAGAATCCAGTTTTAAGAGTAGCAGGGGAGTAGAAATAGAGCCATACATGTTGAGCACTGTAGACAGGCTAAATGGAACTGTGGGGGCTGGGAGGTGGTGGGGGCAAGGACACCATATGAAGAGGAAGGAGGGTGGTTGTGTACAGAGGTCACAACCTGTGGTCTGCATCCTATTTTGGACACATTATGTTTTATTTAAATTTTGCATTAATGGCTGTTATTTAAAAGTCCAGATTTTTGACATCTCTGGAAAAGATCAGCAGCTCTGAGTGATGTATCACGCTGCTCCCTTTAGACCGTATACATGCTGCAGGTCCCTACCGCCTGTGGCCAGTCCTGCTTCATTTATTTGTTTACTAGCCTTATCCTGGAGCCGTAGAATCGGAGACCCTTATTATGATTTGGACTTATAGTGATTAAATGTTATTAGAGGCAAAACAGTGCAATTTCCTTCTCTGGATTTTGAGAGCAATTGCTCTTTTCAGCGCTAAGGCAAAGTTGTCTTGCGGTCCGTTTCAGGGCCCAAAAGACCAAAGATGCACAAGACGTTGACATATCTTGACACACACAAGACAACATGATTCTGGGATGTGAGACTCAAGATAGGGATAATCAAAGCCAGGAGATTTTAAAAGTAAACATGGCTTTGGGCAGAGAAGATTGGAAAGTCTTCGGGTTCTGGCTGTTTGCAAATTGGTTATGCCCATTTTCTCCTTTTGCAAATGGGCTAGATTGAGGGGAGATAAAGGTGAAACCTGCTGCAAGAGAAAGTGGAAAGTGGGCAGAGAGGATTGTTGGAGAGGTCTGAGCGTGGAGGAGAAAGTTATATAAGGCTTCAGAGAAACTCTTTGGCGAGATGGTTTCGGCTCAGCGGATGAAAGAAGATGTGGAACAAACACAGGGAGAACAAAGGCAGGAGAAGAAACCCAGGCGGGATCGGCAGATAAGTCAGGGGGAAGAAGACAAAGGGAGCTAAATTTAAACAGGAGGGAAAAGATGCCTCAGCGGGGGGGCCAGGAACAGTCTATAAATACCACGAAGGCAACAAGCTCCAGAAAGAAAGGAAGGATTATTCACTGTCTCTCCAGATGTAGGGCAGCGACAGGGGCCAGAAGGAAGCTGAGCCGGCGTCAGGCTGCCAGACCCAGGGGAAGAAAGTGATGTTTGTGCTGTGGCAGGAACCCGGCAGGAGTGGGACCCTGGCTCCTGGGTGGCCGCTCAAAGTGCCATTAGTCTCCAGGCTGACCCAGCCGGGGACACCGCAGAGACCACTAGTCTCTTGCAGGGCTGAGTCTCTGCTAACGGGAAAAAGTCATCTTGCGGGAGAGGAATCCAAGTCATTTCACTTCTCTAGTGAAATTTCACTTTTTGTAAAGTGGAGATAATTGCTGTTCACCCCAACAGGGAAGTGTGAGGATCAGATGAGACTTTGTATGCGAAAGGGCTTTGGGAGCCTTAGAGCCTAAAACAGCTGGGAGACGTTTGCTCTGTCTGAAAAGCACCTGCCTTTGTTTTCACAGCTGGTCAGGGAATTGTTAAAGGGGCAGAAAGGTTTCTCCATTCCCTGTTTCTCTTCCATTCTCCCCACTTGCATTCTCCCTTATGTTCTGCCTTCAGAATTTTTTTTTTTTTTTTTTGATGCACTAGCAGCGCCCTTGGCTGGGGAGATATGTCCCTGAGCAGAGCAGAGTCCCTGCCTTTAAGGAGCTAATGGCTCCAGAGGGAGAAGTGGACATGAACCCAGGTGACTTCCTCCTGGTGCCATCGTGCCACCGCAGAGGCAAGGGCTTAGGTGCCGTAGCCGAGGAGGAGAGGTGCTGTTCAGGTGGGAGGAAGCGTGTGCACCAATGTGCAGAGACGGGAACAGCACACCGTGGGGCAGGGAACTGCAGATAGTTTGGTGAGGGCTGGAGCATGGGCCGTGTCTGCTGCAGACGGGCACCAGACGAGGCTGGTGGGGCGTGTCAGGCCGTGTCTGCAGGGTCTTGCGGTCTGGATCAGGGACCATGGCATGTCCTGATGACAGAGGGGATTCAGTGAAGGGTTTGGGGCGGAGGAGTGCCACCGTGATGATTTCATTTTAGAGAGTTCTCTCTGTAGCCAGTATGGATGATGGGCTCAGCCCAGTGGCTTGAGTAGAGCACTGCTCCACTCCTGCTACACATCTCTCTCTGTGTGTGTGTGTGTGTGTGTGTGTGTGTGTGTGTGTGTGTGCTGGGGGTACTGTGGAAACCTGAGCCACCAGGATTGATGGGGAGGAGTAAAGAGTTAACTTCTGGGCTGAGCTGAAACCGATGGGTGAAAGTGCTAATGAGCTGAGGGCAAGAGTCCAGGAAATTACTGAGGCTGTGCTTCCTTGCTTAGGGTGAAGATAACATACAGACTTCCACCTCCTATTTCTCCTGGGAGGAAACACCACCCCAGGGCCCAGCTTCTGTGGCCAAGGAGCAGGGCCAGGTGCCTCCTTGTGTCCCTTTTCGCTGCCTGTTTGCAGTTGTGTTTGAGAAATGAAGGGGGGGGGGAGGGTAAAACAAAGGCATCATTAAAATGATCTGGAAAGAGAATGTCATGGTGGAAGGAAGCCCTAAAGATCATGTGCAGCAGATAGCATCTGGTGGGCTCTCCCAGCTCCCAGTCTCTAATCTGAGAACACTCACCCTGCTTTGCTATCCCCAACTCACACGTGCAGAAATGGACACTAGTAGCTGTGTTTGTAGGACATATTCTTACTTCTCTAGTCATAGCTAACTGGGCAAGGGGTAGACACTTGGCTCAGGAAAACCAACCCAGAGCCTGGGCTGGTGCAGTCATATGCTCCCCAGAAAACCTGGAATTTGGTTACAGAGAGAATTGTTCAGCTTGCGGTGGTGCGTCTTGACCTTCTTGGATGATTCAGGACTGAGGTCTGTAGGGGCCATCCTGGGTCATAATGGGAACAGGTGCAAGAAGAGCAGAGATAGTTCATTTGTAGAGAGAATAGATTAGAAATAAATTGAATGACTGTGCAATGAAAGAGAGTGAAAAAGAAAGGGAAAGAGAAGCAAAGAAAGAAAGAAAGGAAGAGAAAGACAGGCTCCTGAATGACTTTTGTCTTTGGTGTTCTCCTCTTGGCTTCTATGAGATACTCCTATGCCCTTCCAGTAATTTCCTTCTGTTTAAATTAGTTTCAACAGGTTCTTTGTAACCAAACCATCAGAAAACAACTAGTTTTCCTCCTTTACAATCAAGAAAAGTTGCACCTAAAATTCCCAGACCTACTTTTTTTTTGAGGGGGGGGGAAACTTTGTGAAAGATTCTATCATGTGCTTTCTTGCTAACATTTTTAATCTCTCTCTTTCTTTCTTTTGAGACAGAGTCTTTCTCTGTTGCCTGGGCTAGAGTGTCATGGCGTCAGCCTAGTAGTTCACAGCAATCTCAGACTCCTGGGCTCAAGCAATCCTGCTACCTCAGTCCCAGTAGTTGGGACTACAGGGACATGGCACCACCATGCCTGGCTAATTTTTCTCTTTCTCCTAGAGACGGGGTCTCACTCTTACTCAGGTTGGTCTCAAACTCCTGAGCTCAAGCAATCCTCATGCCTCGGCCTTCTAGGGTGCTAGGATTACAGGCGTGAGCCACTGTGCCTGGCTTGCTTTCGATAATTTATACTCTTCTGGTTAGAAAGCCCTACTTCAGGACCAGTCTAAATGTCTTTTGTTACATTTCAAGGCCAATGATTTTTGTTGTGTGATAGATCATTTCTTCTTTAGAATCTGACCTCTTTCTTTTTGCAGGAACTTCTACAC